CAACGTGATCTTCAGCGGCCATCACGACCAGATGAAAACGTTTCCACACAGCCAGGAAGTGGCCACGGTGCCAAGAACAAGGAATCGTGTGGCAAAGTTGGTGTTCCAAAAAATGTGTTAAAAAAGCATAAATGCGACGTTTGTGAATATTCGACCAATAATAAAGGTCATTTGAAACAGCACTTGTTGAAACACACTGGTGAGAAGCCACACAGATGCACCCTTTGCCTGAAACGTTTCAAAGAAAAACGAAGTCTCCTTGGTCACATGAAAATAAACGTCAAAGAGTTTCTGTTCCATTGCTCAGGCTGCTTGCAAGGATTCGATGGAGAGGAGGAGAAGACGGAACACGAATCGAACTGCAAAATTCGTCGTTACGAATGTCATTTGTGCAAGGAATCGTTTGGTTCACTTAAGGCAAATATGGTGAATCACATGCGCGTACACAGTGGTGACAAACCGTTCGGGTGTGAAGAATGTTCGAAGGAGTTCGTACTGAAATACAATTTTAACAAACACATGAAGCTTCATGCCGGTCCACGTCCATTCCGCTGTTCGAAGTGTCACGAATGATTCTTACATCAAGATGAAAGAGACTCACATGAGGAGAAGTGTAATCACCGTGTATATGAATGCTTTGTTTGCGGAAAATCAATTGGTTTGAAAAAGTCTAATTTGATTACTCATATGCGCATTCACTCTGGTGAAACCCCGTTCCAGTGTATAGAGTGTCCAAGAAAATTCTTTCGAATTGATTATCTGAAGAAGCACATGATCACACATACAACGGGTCTTCCATTTAAGTGTTTGATTTGTCGTCGTGGCTTTCTGAAGAACGACAAACGGAAGGCACACCAACGGAACTGCAAGAGACGCTACTACGTGTGTTACTTGTGCAAGAAGTTGTTCCGTTCATCCAAGGACCAATTGAAAGGTCACATGCACACACATTCAGGCGAGAAACCATTCCGCTGCGACCTGTGTTGCAATACATTTACACGGAAATCGAGTTTGAACAGGCACATGAAAAACAGTCACCGCAAATAATTCTGAACGACACGATTTGGTTACACTGATGTTCCCATGGGACAGTCAGACAACGTTTATTTTCCATCGAATCAACGACATTGAATGAACAAAAGAAAATCATATCGAGAAAATTCCAATATTCT